TCATTATATAACGAGAGTATATTTTTATCGCAATATCAGTATTTATCCCAAAATCTGTCATTACTATTCTTACATGGACCGTAACTTTATCCATTCACTAGAAACAATATTACGATCACATAACACTGCATTCTATACGGCAATATATCCACCTTATATCTGCATCTTTAGCCATGTTCAACTCAAATAAATCGACACAGCAGCAATGAATTAGACGATCGTTTTCTTTACTATAACAACCAGAAATTATGATTATATCCTTGTGAATTTACACTTATCATTCATACGTTGACACTACACCTTTATACTCATATCTATACCCATATATGCAAATCATAGACCTATATTAATATATCTAAGAACGTTGAAATCATTCTTAGATGTAATGTCGAATGATATGTCTGGATACAGAAGCAAAGAAAGTGATTTGAATTACACATTGTAGTGCACTCAATTCAAATAGAACGCGTCATTAGGATAAACCATGTACGACTGTGAGTAATGACTTACGGTCTTGTTGAATATTCTTTCTGATAGACGACGTTTTCGAGAGAATCATCACCTTGTATACATTAAGAAAAAACAATCATGAAAAGCAATGATGATACACTATATTGTCGATATTATTAGAAAGCAAAATACTTGAGTGCAGTGACGATGTGACTGAAGAAAAAGAATCACATCCGACCGTCGGTATTAAAGTGATATTAAAGGAGTTCAAAAACAGTAGAAAATTTTTTATATAAACATTGCACTGCATAAAATATAGAAGATCAATAAATTAGAGTTTAGAATCAGTCGCGGGCAGCCACGATAGGATCCAATTGTCTAACTTGGACGGCAATCGACTCTTGACATCTAAATTAACTAACAAATTGATTTCATCGATTAACGCTTCCTTAACCTTCTCTCTATTAAGCTGAAGATAGTATTGGAATAAGAAAATGTATACTATAAGAAGAAAAATACAATTCTATTGTACATCACCGTTTTCATAGGTTGAAAAATATGACAGATATCTTTTATTGGTTTTTATTTATGAAAAGAAAAAAAAGGATTCAATGTTTCTTTTTTGTTAAGCCATTTTTTTTGTGGACCCATATCTATGTCGTCATATGATTCTTCTTTTCTTCAGTGCTTTATATCTATATGAAAATGAATGAGAAAAAAAAGACAGATAAATGAATATTCTATTTACCTAAGTTTTTATCTATCTCATTGTTAAGAAAAAGAAAACTAATTTCGTTTTAATATAAAATAAAAATAATTATAATCATAAAATCATGTATTCAAATTTTATTGAATTTAATTTGAAAGTTTAATTTATGTAAAAATTTAAAAATTCCGATTTAAAATTAATTTTTATTCAAAATTAATTCGACATGAGATTTTCTTTTTAATTTTAATACAGTAAATGATGATTTCTAATAGGAATTAATTCGTGTTTTGAAACTTTTTCTTTGCAATTTTTTTTTTCAAAAAAAAATCCTTTTGTTGATAAGATCGATCTTTTTTTGTTTTATTTTTCTAAAAAATAATAACTCAAATTTGTATCTTTGGTATAAAACCAGTTTGAATACAAATCTTCATGAATAATGAAAAATAAAAACAAAAATAAAAAAGAGTCGAAAAATTAGTTCGTCATCGGAACATTTTTTTTTAAAAAATAATCTAAAGATGGAATTGAATATCCACTTGGTCCATTTTGACCTTGATATAAGATCTTATCATTATGTAAAACATACAATCTTTCGGGCCATGCACGAAATAAATAATTTGTATGATTATCAAATGCATCAGAATAAAGAGAAATTTGACTTTCTTGATTAATATTCGACATTTCCATGAGAATTTTAATAGCATCTAATCGATCTTTAATATTTTGATGAGTTTTAATAAAACTATATTGAGTATTAGGAAATTTCCATCCATCTGATGCATGTGCTTCGTCAATATAAATTATGATAAAATCAATTGGATAATGATGATTATTATAAAATTGAGCAAGTTTAATAAAAGATTTTAAACTTGCCATAAATGGTGGTCATGTACAACTACCAAAATTAACAACTAAATAACGTCCTTGTTTAATTAATGAACGTAAACTAATTGTTTCAATATTTAAATAATCATTATTAAATACATTAATATTTTCTGTTAAGACTGGTATTATTTTAGCTGAATTTGGTACTTTTTGACCAACTTGTGTAAGATATGTTGGATGACTTTGTGATAATCGAACACGTAGACGTTCTAATTTCCAATAAAATATCCAAAATTGTAATGTTAATGCTGAACGAACAATTAATGATGGTGAACATACTTGAGTCTAAAAATAATGTAATAAAATTCAATTTTTCAATAATAATCTATTGATTGGATTGAATTTTGAATGGATTTGAAAAGAAAAAATTCTTTTTATAATTTTATTTATTTCAGAAATTTTTTAATTGTTTTAATAAAGAAACAGAATCCATTGATACTTTGTTTTTTGTCTAAAACTAATCATAACAAAATCTTTATATTAGAACAACTAAAAACAATTCTTCACTATCAAATACACTATAGAATATATTTCAATATAATGTAAGAGATCAGTCAAAAGTTAAAAACAAAGATTATTATAGAATACAAAAACAAAAAAACTAGTTTTAATTCATAGAATCTTATTGAAAAAGAGAAGAATACATTACTGTAGTTTAGGTCAAAAATGATTTACTCATAAAACAAAACTAACAAAAGATTAATGATTCGATTTATTCTTCTAAGTTAATTGCAAATGATTTGTATTATATAAAATCTTTGATTTCAAGAAATGTTCCTTTTTGTTTATAAATTCAATAGAATAGAACAGAGATAGAACCGGCATCGGTTATAATTGGCTGATCCGATCCGATATCGGTACGGCTTTTAGACCGACCTGTCTAACCTTTTCAGGCATGTGATACAACTTGGCAAATCAAGTTTACCACACGATAACTCGTGTTCTTCATATCTACATTACTTTTTTTTCTTGCTGTGAACTGTCGATGTATCATGCGTTACCGGTAGACTGACCAGTCCGGTTCGGTCTGAACAATTTTAGACCGGTTCCATCTCTGGAATAGAACTTCATTAAAGTTTTTCTTATTCCATGATGAAGTATATACATTTATGCAATTTTCTACTAATTAAATTTTTCCTGTTTGTTCAATATAATTATTCAATTGACCGAGGAAATAAAATTAAAAAAAAAAAATCATTCGTTTGTTGTGATTTAATGTAACGAAAATTTTGTAAAGACTCTCTCAAGTTTTATTTGGAAATCTATGTTTACACTCTCGAAATATATGAACTATTTGTTAATTAAAGATTGCAATGAAAAAAATATATATATACGTACAGTTACAGCAATTCCTTGAATAAATTCATTTGGCATTTCATCATTTTTATTATTGAGATCTTGTTCAGCTAATTGTTTTCGTTTTTGAATCCAATCATCTTCTTGACGTGTAATTACAACCCAAAGATAATATAAAATCATCTTGACTGGATTAAATATCATTCGTTTTGCTGTTAAAATAATTTCAATAAATGAATTCATGAATATAAAAAATGATTGACAAATCATTGTATATGTACAAATAATTCCTTTTTTCTAAACCAAAAAGAATTTTTTTCTCGATTTCATAGGCCTAGAATAAAGAAAAATGTTTGTAGAACTATATATTTCTTTTTTGTGAGACCATTTATATATATATAGTCAACGAAAAGAAAAAGTAACTCTTAAAAATCTCTCTGTGAAATGATGACTACGCTTATCATAAATGCAAGTGACAAACATCAATCGTCACAATGACATAAAGACTTTTCTTTTTTTTTTTCTTCATTTTTAATCTTATCATTTGAAGGAATATAAAACATTTATTCGATTTAAAAATGAAATTCTCAATTGATATTCAAACTTTAATAGAAAAAAAAAAATTGTTAAAATAATTTCAAATGAATTTTTCAATTCACTATCTGAAATAAAACAAATGAGTCGCTTTTCTAATCTATCATTTATTTTTCAATCGAAATATTTGTTACATAATTATCTAGAAATAAGTAAAGCAAAACAAAATAATTAACTCTTTTTGAATAATAAATTAAAAATTGTACAATCATTGATGAAAAATATCTTCTTCGTATTGATCTGTTCTTTTTTTTATTTAAGATATTCTTTGAGAACTCTAATTAATCGATTAAAATATAACGAAATTGATAATTTAATAATTGATATTTAGAAACGACATAAAAGTTATTTTTATATTATTATTTGCTATAATAAAAAAAAAAAGAACGTAATCAATATGGACGTACGCAATAAGATGTTCTTGTAATAAATAATGACAAAGCATTAAAAAAGAAAAAGCAATATCATGATGTGAAAGTTCGATTTGTTTTTAACTATTCGAATATTTATCAAATAAAAACATGATTAAATATTTAATTAATGATTATAAATGTTTCTAATTCATGTTGCCATTAAATAAAGGTTTCATATTCGATCATTTTCATATTAAAATTTGAAAGCAAAATTCTATAGTGATTGCCGAGATTTCTAGCTATTCTAATCGTTTATTATAACGATAAATCTAAATCAAATATTAAAGTACGAAAGTTAAATATATTTCAATAATTCGCTCAAGTAAAATTTGCATCAATTGAAAATTTTTTTTTTTTGGTCGATTTGAGAATAAAGAATGAAGTTTTTTTTTTTTAAATGTTGCAATTCATTTAAGTTTTATTATTTTGATTTTATCAATAAATTAAACTGTTATAATTGACTCAAACAAAAACAAAAAAAAAGAATTTCTAAATAAAATAAAGCTAATTAACGCAACTCCTTTAAAGACAATTAACTTTTCTATCCGCTCTTTATTTCATTTTTGTATTTTTTTGAATTTTACTACATTATTATTTTAATCATTGATTGAGCTGATACACAAGTCTGTTCTATACAACATATATATATAGTAATAGCTCGGTCAATGCATTCTGTTTATGATGATCATATTACAATCAGAAACTCTACTATAAAAAACATTCAAAAAGCTTTGAAATATTTTAGAGTAGTCGAAATCTTGCTATTTCATGTTATGCATAGATTTTTTTCTCATTGATATTGAACTCATATTCACTATTATCTTTAAAAAAAATATATGTTAATTTCAGATAAAAATCAAATTTTAGTGAATTTATTCGAAATAAACAGATTCTTAATAGAATTTTAAACTGAAATTAAAAAAAATTTAACATAATTTATATAACAAAAGAAAATTGAAACAAAATTGTACAAAGAAAATAGAACAATTAATTTAATTCATTTTGATCAATCATTCTTAATTTTTCACATAACCATCTTCGACATTGCATTTGAAATTTTCCATCAAATTTCCATGTATTAACTTCATTTGGTATTTCATTATATCCAATCCAAACTTGACAACCATATGGAAATGTTCGTTCATGTTGAAAATTTTTAGCAGGTTTTATCCAAAAATTTTCTGTTTTTATTATTGTTTCAAATATTAATTTTGAAATATTTGTTGCCATTTTTTGAGCTGGACATCGTCTTATATCAAAACCCCATGTCATAAGTGGTGGATGTTCTTTTGTATTCCATCGTTGAGGTATAAATGAATCTGGTTGTATCCATCCATTTCTATTTAATTGTACTAATGATGCAATCCAACCTCTTTGTTTTCCATAGGATGGTCTTGTCCATATATCAGTTAATGGATATAAACGAAGTGTTTCATTAATTGAATTTTCTAAATCATCATGAAAATCATTTGGATATTGTGAATATAATAATAACATATGACAAATAAAATCCGTACATTGAACTGATATTGTTGTTAGAAAATCTTCAGCTACAGATGATACTTGATGTATTTCATTCATATCATAAAAATCTTTAAAATTATGAAATATAAAATCTTTATCATTTTCTTTAATTAATAATAATATTCGATCATAAAATTTTTGACGTATTTGTATATCTGGTATTGATGTAAATCGTTTTATTATTTTATTAATATCAAGTAAACCAGAATAAATATCATTAAATTCATTTTCTGTTGGTTTTCGATTAAACATTAATTCAAATGATATTTTTGATAGTATTTCAAATATATCCCAAAGAATATTTCCTTTTCGAGATTCTAATTTAATATCAAAAGATTTTTCAAAAATTCTTTCATTAATTATTGTATTTGCATATGAAAAAACATCACGTCGTTTTTTCCAATATGGATCATTATTATCAATAAGAAATGTTGGAATAAATGGACATAATGCATTTGTAAAACCATCTAATGGTTTTGCACATTTAGGTAGATTAATTAATGTTTTACTATCACATATTAAATCTCTACTAAGTAAATTTATTTTTCCTTTACGATTTCTAAATAATTTCCATATCACCGTTCCAGGTGTCATTAAAGTAAAAAATGCACTTAAATACAATAATATTGTATAGTAAAATGCCACTAAACCATCAAAGAAATTCATTTTCATTTTCTAGAATAAAAAATTTTTATTTATTTATTAATAAATATTCGAATTTTTGAAATAGTTATTTTTTTTGTTTTTGATTTATTCTTAAATGTAATAATAAAGTTTCTAACTGAAATTATAGAATTACTTGTTCGAATCGAATTATATGATAAGTTTCGATAATATTTATATTTTTATGCGAAGAAAAATTTCTTTAAATACATGTATTTTGGTTGAGTTTTATCTATATGTGAAATTAAATTCACTTGACACAGCTGTCGGGTCGTATGACAACAAACACTGCTCTCAAGACCTGTCGACTTTTGCCTGTTTAAAATTACAAAAATCGATATAGCATGTTTTGTTCTATTTTTTGTTGTTTTGCACTCAACATCAGTTTGACTCAAAATTCACACTACAAAGTAGATAATCTGATTTTGAAGGTTTTCATAATGGCTTTTATTGAAATGGAACTTGTTTCAAATAGAAGATAAGATATCAGAGAACTTTGTATATCATTTTGTTAGAGAAATAGATATCATGTCTAGGGGTCGACAAGCTCAGCTCAGTTCCGCTCAGAGGAACTGTTCGAACAGCTCTTTTGAGCTGAGCTGAACTGGTGAACCGGTTCGTTTGAACTGTGAGCTGTGTTTCCAAAGCAGAACACTTTTGTTCTGTTTTGGGAACATAGTTCAAACGAACCGGTTCACCAGTTCAGCTCAGCTCAAAAGACCTGTTCGAACAGTTCCTCTGAGCGGAACTGAGCTGAGCTTGTCGACC